TGATAAGCCTTTGTTCCAATCCGATCTCAATATGGTATAATGGATCGATTGTTTTGATCTGATCTCAGTTGTAAATTCCCTAACTAAGTGCTAGAATCGCCTTGGTAAATGGTGGTGTAATTTATCTCCTTGGTAAAGGGTGGTGTAATTTATCTCAAGTAATGAAACTTCGATTCTGAACCACATCAGTTAGTAAATAGTTTCCTCAGTCCTTCAATAGGTTCACTTAAGCGATCCGATCTTCAATTATTAAGGGGCTCTTCATGTTTTCTTAAGTGGTTCGCTTCATATTATCTTAAGTGGTCCGACCTCAAATTGTTAACAGGTTAGCAGTAAGAGTCGCTTCATATTCGCTTAAGTGATTCAACTTATATTAACTTGAGTGGTCCGATCCGCAATTATTAACTGGTTACTGTTACGAGGCAATTAGTCTGACGCTTGTCATTCATACAAATATGAACAGATCGAAAAGATTAAAAAAAAACAGAAGCACAAATACTTACCAAAAATTTTATTTCATTGAATAAATTTAAGTACAAGGAGGCCGAAGCCATTACAAAAGATAGCCCTATTCTGCTGGAGGGACTTCTACATCGGCCGCCTCCGGGGCCTCCGGAGCTTTCTCAGCAAGCCTATCAGGCCGACCTCCAGTTGGGCCCCCGAACTTTACCTCCAATGAGGAGATGTCCAAAATGGGGTACACCTCCTTCAGTCGACCCAACAAGCTTTGGGAACTCCATGAGGCCCAAAAATTGGCGAAGTCGTCATACAGGGGATGGTCTTCAAAGTGGTCGACGAAGTTCTGAACTGCCACCTCCTCTGCAGACTTCAACTCCTCCTTCAAAGAGGCAATCTCCTCTGACTGAGCCTTTGCCTTCTACCGCAGCTCCGTCTTCTCTTTGTTGGAGGCCTCCAGAGCCTCGGTGGCGAGCTTGTGGTGCTCATTGGCGTGATCAAGCCACCGAGTCACAGCAGCCACTTGGCACTCCACCTCGTACAACTCCTTCTTCAGCCGTTCCACTTCTGCTTTGGCGACAGTTAGCTTCCTTCTTTCCCTCCTTCGCCTGCGTGGCCTTGGCCTGGGCCGCTCGCACGGCATCCCCATAGTGCATCGCCTCCTCGAGGCGCTTGGCGAGGTCCTTCCTCTTGGCGTTCAGATCCTTCACCAAGCCCTCAAGTTGGATGTTTGTACTCAGGGCCCGAGCCACGCAGGCGCTATTTGCAGCCACCAAATCCTCAACTGTGCAGGAGGCAGTGTGGTCCCTTCACTCCTCAGTCCAGTATTTGCTGTGGACCAACGCCACCGTAGCTGTTTCTGGAGGAAGAGCCTCCAACACTTCCCTTACGGGCTCCTTCTGGTTTATGCCCAGAAAGTTGACCTCCTTAGAGGAACGGGGCCTCTTCCTCTTCTGCTGCCCCGGCACTTGATCAATTGGCACGAAAGCAAGGGGTGTTGTGGCCGGGGCAGTGGCAGGCTCAGATGGGGTGGGCCTCTTCTCCGGAATGGCCACCTCGGTGGGGATTGTGGTTTGCCTCAGAGCAGGGGATGGCCTCGCCACAGTTGGGCATTTTGGAGGGGCGGCACTCTTCTTGCCGTTCCTCCGAAGGTCACCCTCCGGGTCCTCCGGTACCTCCTCCTCCGTCGGAGGCTGAAGCCTCTTACTGGCTTCCACCAAATCCTCCATTTGTTTTTTGTAGGAGGAGGAAGAGGCCTTCAACGCCCGTGCCTCTGCCATCATCTTCTGGATAGTCTTAAAGTTGGGGCGCACAGGCATCTTCTTATTAAAGTTGTCTGCAAAGAGCGAATGATTAATTAGTACAAGTGTTGAGAGTTTAGAATAAAGGGTAAAGACTTCGGTCCAGTTACCTTGGGATGCCATCAGATCGTGAGTAATGAAGTGGATGTTCTTTCGAATCAGCCTATGGTAAGACCCCTTCTTTTGAGGCAGCTGATAAATGATGCAGATGGTTTCAAAGTCCTCGGATGACAGCTCGCACCGAGGAAGAGCACCTGCAAAGGAAAGGTAAATGTTAGGCACAATTCGAACCGAAGAGAAATATAAGGAAAAACAACTACTATACTCACTAAGTGTTGAGTACTTCGTCGGGACCGTAAGAGGCGCCAGGGGGTCCCCCTCCATTGTGTCCCATCACCATGTGGCTCAGCACCACGAGCTCTTCCATTCTTTGAAGGAGCTCGGCAAATCGAGCACGAATGGAGCGTGGAAACCCCATGAAGTAAGGTAATACCATCCCCGGGTCTTACCCCCCCCCCCAGCAATTACCTTAGGTATATAAAGGGTCTGGAAGACGGAGAGGGGCATCTCCACCCCTAATGATGCCTCTTTCCACAACATCCAGGAGCCCACCATTTGGCTCCAGGAATTCGAATTGAATTGCGTCGGGGCTAGCCCATAGGATCTAAGCACCATCCTAAAGAATGGGTGAACTGGCAGCCTAAGTTCGACCCTAAGGATCGCCTCGCTAATTGCCACATAGACCGGCCTAGGGTAGCAGGCTCTCTCGGGGAGGATCAAATCTATGCTATCAGGGATCCTATACTCCGTCCTAAGTCTCCCCAGGTCGGCCTCTCTTAATTTGGATGGGTAGTCCCATGCCCACAATGCACAGAAGTATCTGTTGGGCTATTTGGTCGCTTCCATATATTTTCCCCCTATTATTGCCTCTGCTATTTCTGAGGAGGTCGCCACAATGGGCTCGTCCACCCTCACTAGTTCTAACCCCCTCCCCGAACCAAAACTCCTCTCCGAGGCCATTTTTTCAGAATTTAAAAGCCCTAAAAGGTAATGAAACTTACGAGTTTGAAGGTTTTCCTAGCTGAAAATGGTGTAAGGTCGTCGAAAGTTCAATTTTCTCGTCGGAATTGCTTAGAAAATGCCGAAAATCGCCAATGACTTGAGAGCAAAATATATTGTTTGTTTCGCAAGGGTAGAAAGCTTGAGAAAACCTCAGAGTCCACCTTTTATAGAAAGACAAATCCGATCTCCACCATCGAATTCAAATGCGATCAATCTAAGCCGTTCATCGCATCTTCAATCTGGGCCGTTGAAATGAAACGCCAGATTTGATCTACGCCCAAGATGTCGCCGTGACATTCACGCTTGCTTAAAATGCGTCACCTCGGTTACATGCAGCCGTCAATAATAATAAGTAGCCACAACAGCCTTTTACGAGAATGGGCATGGCACCCAACTGTCACCTTGGAAATACGCAACAGTTGTCAAATCATTTGACGTTTGAATCGCCTCGGATCGAGCTCCTCACTCAACTTTACAAAGCTTGGACGTACCGACACGAAGTCCCCTGTGGGTCACCGCCTCGGATGCTGCGTTCCCTCCCATGCTTTACAAAGTTTTAGCCATCTCCCAACGGGTCGGCCCTTTGGGTCAACGCACCGGTGATAGATGAGCTCCTCACTCAACTTTACAAAGTTTGGACGCACCTGACGCGAAGTCCCCTATGGGTCATCGCCTCGGACGCTGCGTTCCCTCTCATGCTTTACAAAGTTTTAGCCATCTCCCAATGCGTTAGCCCTGTGGGTTAGCGCACCGGTGGCAGATGAGTTCCTTGCTCACCTTCGCATAACCTACAAGCACCTAGCGCGAGCCCCCTCTGGGACATCGCCTCGGTCGTCATGTTAACCTCTTTTCCTACTAATCGTCCCATCTTGCAGTGCTTCGACCTCACATTGGTTATTGTTTCCCTTACACAGTAACGAAACTTTGGCACATCTGCCTAGGATCATGACCTCGATTACTGCAAAAGATCAATCCCCAAACTCCCACGAGTCGCGATCCCCAGTACCGAGACATATACATCCGGTCAGGAAAGCAAGTCCACCCATGATATAAATATTTATACCTGGACACTGTTATGCCTCTATCTGATCCGCCTCGGAACGCGCACCACCATATATTTCGACCTAATAAAGACTCGTCCAAAGTGTTTTCGAAGTGATATCAGCAATGTCTGCAACCTAGTAGCACGCTGCGAAGTACAAGCGATCCCTACTACTGACTTGACCGAAGCACCTCGCCCCTGAAGCCGAGGCCAAGTGGCCCCCGGTTAGAAGATCCGCCGCCAATTTCGGAAAGAAATTTGTGCCAAGATCCTTCCTGCACCTAAAGTTTAAATTGATTTGACGTCTTCATGAGGCTAGTTGATGTGACTTATTAACTTTATGTCAATTCAACTCAGGAGAAACAAGTTGTCCGCCCACTCTACAGACGCGGCTGATTGACGCTTATGAGCGGGCGCCTCATACCGTCAGATGTATACACGTGTCCCACATCCAACGACTCATCCCACCTATAAATACCCAAGGTTTGGCAAGAGACAAAGGTAATGAAAACTCTTACTACATAGCACTCCATAGCAAGCTTATATATTTCTCCTCCCCCTTATCATTATTTTGCACAACTCTTGGGTACTGTTCCGACCACCTAAACCTGACTTGACCGTCGGAGTGTATACGGTCGCCACCACCCCCGCTGGTCCCGACCGTGTGCGTCTGACCATTCACTGATTGTGCGCAGGGAGGAATACGTGGAGTAGCTCTCAGTTGACCACGTGGAAGGATCAATTTTCGAGGTCAACACTAATTATTGAGAAATGTTCAGATTACTTTGAATAAACTGTTTTTTTTATATAATTAATTGCTCAGATTCTTCAAAACCAAATTGTGTGCGTTTGTTGACTACATAGGAGGCTCAACAATAACACTTTGACTGGAACTATTCCTATGTCTCTGACCAACGTCACTACCCTTCAAATCCTGTAAGTAGAGGATTAAAGGATTTTCTTTTATCACTGGTGGTTTTCTTTGCATCTTGTTTTTGGCAGACTAATAATCATTTTCAAGTATAAATACAGTGATCTGTCAAATAACACTTTATCAGGGACGACTCCAATCAATGGCTCCTTTCAGCTTTTCACACCTATCAGGTTTAATGCAATTACTTCTGTCTTACTGTCTTTTCCACACTAGACTAAGTCACTCATCGAGGTCTTGTTCTGACTGTTGAGATCCTATCTTCCAGCTTCAAAAATAATCCTAACCTGAAACTTGCTCCCGTATCTCCATCACCTCCACTTCAATCGACAAACCCATCTTCATCGCGAGGTTCGTTAATTCTTTATAATATATCCTTTTTTTCCTGAATAATTTCTTTTTCCTTTCCCGGCTCATGGCAATAGCATATTAAGAAGATAAGCTTTGCTAGTATGACCTAGTGAATATGAACATAAGACATATCAGAAGTTGGAAATGCTCTCTCATTAACTAACGGGAATATATAAAATAGTTACTGACTACTTTTTGTATTTCCATTTAATGTGATGTTTGGACCATATATTTAATAATTTTGTTCTCCTGTTTTTCGAACCATAGAATTTTATCATATTTTTATGCTCATCACATTTTTTTATTTGGTATGCATTGAAATTTTTTTTGACTGTAGGACTGATAAGGTCAAGGATATATATATATAATATTTTTTTCTGTCAAACTCTCACACTTCACCATTTAATTAGTCGTTTGAGTTGCAAAAACTTGATTACTGCTACAGTTGGCAACAGTGCAACTGGGGCCATTGCAGGAGGAGTTGCTGCTGGAGCGGCTCTTCTCTTTGCTGCTCCTGCAATAGCGCTTGCTTGGTACTGACGAAGGAAGCAATCTGTTCACTTCTTTGATGTTCCTGGTTAGTGGATCTAAAGAAAGCTTTAGTTTATCATGACTATTGTGTACAATGTGTTCTTAATTATCTTCTATTCATTGGCAGCTGAGGAGGATCCAGAAGTCCATCTAGGGCAGCTCAAAAGATTTTCTTTACATGAACTCCAAGTTGCAACGGATAATTTTAGCAACAAAAATGTTCTTGGCAGGGGTGGATTTGGCAAAGTTCATAAAGGCCGGTTGGCTAATGGTTCTCTTGTCGCAGTTAAAAGATTAAAAGAAGAACGTACACAAGGTGGAGAGCTTCAGTTTCAAACCGAAGCAGAAATGATCAGCATGGCTGTGCATCGAAATCTACTTCGGTTACGTGGCTTTTGCATGACACCTACAGAACGATTGCTTGTTTACCCCTATATGGCTAATGGAAGTGTAGCATCATGCTTAAGAGGTACAGCTCTTTGTTATTTTCTTATATTCATTGTTTGACTTAAGTCACATATACATATTGTGTGCATAAATGTTGCTTGCTGATAGAGCCGGTCCTGTAATTGTCAGACCCCGGGGTGAAATCCAAAAATTAGGCCCCCCAAAATCAACGTAAATACAAAATTCAACGGTGTATTATGCAACATATTGCCAACTTAAAACTTAACATTAGAGCAACAAACAAATATCTCAATCATCTCACAATTAATGAAAAAACTATTTTCCTTTTCCTTCTTCTAATATTAAAAAAAAAAAAAAAACTTTTGGGCCAAAATAGGCCCCCTATGGTTTTGGGCCTGAGGCACAGACCTCATTTGCCTGACCACAGGACCGGCTCTGCTTGTTGATAATAATGTCACGGTTCAAGAATGTGTTCTGTAGTTTGAGCAACGAAATATTTATAAGCACGACATTTATGGAAACACAATTTGATTTATGAGGACTAAAGAGATTTGAAAGTGGAAATAATACTCTAACCTTTATCTGAAAAATAATATAATATTGAGACTTTGATCTGGAGTATTAAGAAATTCTTTACCTGAGATGCTAACTAAAATTTAATTTAAGTTAATTCATTGTGGTATATGTAGTGCTTACTTCCCTTGGTGTAATTATAATGACACTATTGGTTTCCAAATTTATTTAATATGTTGGAAAGGGGTGAATCCAAAGTCTCAATTCCCTTAATTCACTTGCAACTGTTGGAGAATACACCGATTATGTGCATGTCATATTCACAAAAAATATACCGTTTATGTTCACGAAATCAAAACAAGGTTTCGACTTACCGAAATGGCGTTTGAAAAACTAACCATTGATTATCGAATCTGACTATTTTCATTTTTGAATTAAAACATGTGATTCTTCATATCAAATATTGCATAAACCATATAAATAAAATTAATCATTTTCTAAAATCAAGTAGAAATGAAATCAGAAAAAATTAGATGTAAGTGATGCGATTGGTCGAGGCGAGTATAACTCTTTCTTTAAGATGAATTTGCCTCGCATCGGTGCTAATTATTTTTCGATAATCATCTCCCAAGATACAACGACCACGTCAAGCCATAGGAGCACTCCAAATGACTTCGACCAGCGAACTCGAACGGAATTCCCTCTCTACCAAGAAAATGCATGAAAATGCTATGGAATTAGAAAGAAGAGAATTGCAAGAGGAGAATGAATGTTCAATGCAATTGGTATATCCAAAAACATGCATTTATAGATGTAGAAATGGTGCAAATGAAGTAGTGTGGGCCAAAACCCGCATCCTTTCGAAAAGTTGCAACACTTGGCCAAAACCTGCATCCTTTCGAAAAGTTGCAACACTTCATTTCTTCCAACTTTGGTCCGTAATTTCTCATTCATCCAGAATTATTTTCGAGATTCCAAATATACCATGATGATCTACTCGACGAGTAGAATAAGTTGATCTATTTACTTTTGTAATTTTACCATTGGATCAAGTCCAAATATTTGGTCGAAGTTGACACGTAGTCATATCTTTTCATTTTCCACCTTTACACACCTTTTCATTTTCCAATTTTTGGTTAATTATTTGAACCAATTCCTAAAACCCCCCCCCCCCACATGAATGGAAATTGGGTACGCATATGCAAATGCGATGATATTGATGCAATGTAGAAAGGGTGCGAAAAAACACTGCATCAGGGAATGTAGCTTCTTGTCTTGAACCTCCCTTAGTGAAATACCATCGGACTTACTCGGCTAATTGGTGAACGTGATGTCTTGAACCATTCAGCCTTTAGTGTAAGCAAAGACAACGATACTCACACAATGTCTTCCCTAAACCGTTCATGGTTCTCATGAATTGGTTCATTTTGGCCCTGAACCCTTCTTGGTATTGCGAGTGTTTAGAGAATTTAAGCCTTGAATAATTCTCATTGAAGCGGCCACACTTCACACTCACATAGGTGACCTCCTATTAAGAGTATTCTGCCCTACTCCACTTGACTTAATAAAGATATAGGAATCATTAAAAGATTATTTTAACCTCTTGCAACTCTGCAGAAAGCACTTTAATATCATAGGAATGAGTTGGGAAATTATTTTCCTAAGTGCTTCTGGAATCCTCATAACTTAGTTGTCGCTTTGAACCAAAATCTTGGGATCTCCAGTTAACAAGGTAGGGTTATCATTACAAGGACTCTAACGTAGTAGGCTTCAATCTCATTCCCTTCGATATGCAATCTTCTTGATCTCTCTTTTTAAATCTTTTTTAAAAGTACCACGAGTTTACACCATTGAGATCAACTGCTTAATGGTATTATGTCTATGACTTATACGTCTAGACCTACCATTACATATGACTTAGTATCTTATCAATTATTGCTAGCAAACGATCGATTTCATTTAATAGATACAAATTGTCACCACCAAGAAATCCTTTCATGAAGCTACATACTTCTTATTAGCTTTATCTAAAGCTTGATCAATCTCCAAACAACACTGTTAGATGATTTCTATCTAATTCTTGCACTACTCAACCATGTTTACTAGTGGATTTCAGGGTCATGGGTATTCAATATCATCATTGAAACATAACAGTGCATTCGAACTTTATGAATATTCTTCATATTTTTCAATTGTTCTTGTATGTCTAAACAAACGTCATAATCGGCTTTACAACCCATTTCATCCACTTTAGACTTAGTATATATCATCCTTATAATTAGTATAAGGGTTTTTTATCTTTCCACCTTCATAGGTATCGTTCTATGATTATAAGATAGAAGCAAACGTAACTATTAAAGTGAGTTCCCCCCACAATTCCTCAATTAGGAATACATATGCAATCTAGTAACGTTGCATCCATAAGTTTTAAACTTTTCATTCAAGTTCACGAGCATTTATGATAATCTCCCACATCTTTGGGTTACAATTGAACTTAGGGTTTAGCAACTCTTTCATAATTCAATTTATTTATCTCTTAGATAATATCCATATCAAGTGCTTCGTGAAAGTCTAAATACTTCCAAAGTAGTGGTCGTTGACTCACAATTTATTTCAATTAAAGTTGCATATAACATACTTCAATCCAATTATTTTAATTTGATCATTCAAATTAAATCAAGGTCATCATATAGACCAACAATGCTTTCAAAACATATACCAATTTAATTGGTTTCATGATTGAAGTTAAATTCAACAATAAAAGGGCTAAGCATTGCAAGATATGCAACTTATCACATTTGTGACATTTCACATGATAGTTTCATTTTATGTCAAATAATAAGGTACATATTCACCATATTCATCATATTCAAACTTGAACGAAGGAATCAACCATAGGTTAAAAAGTTGTGTTCTTCAAGAGACATAACTCTACAAAATGACACACCTCTTGAATTAATCTCTGTGGGAGACACACCCATTGAAAAATAATTATACCAAAAGTCATGATTATTCATATGAAAGGACACACCTTTTTATCTAAATTGATCGTAGAATATTTCAAATAATTAAGTGGTTTAATTCTCATAACTAAATAATTATATCCAATTAATTCCATAGGATTAAATGAGGCTATCAACATTAATCAAAGTTAGTATAATTTCAACAAGATATGAAAATTTAACCAACTAGACCATTTTAACCAAAAAGGTCTATACAAAATCCAAACGCTTGCATGGATTCATCAAATGAATACACTAATCCGCTTCACATGATTATCATATAGATACCCAACAAAGTTGGCTACTTAAAATAAATACATACTCATGTTATTACCATTATGAACATATTTATCAGTTAAAATATGTCTTCTCATGCAAGTAATATACTCAAACGCATAATGATTTGCCATAGTGAGAGAACAAAAGTTATTGGGATGATATACGTATAAACTAAAAGTAAGGAATTCTGCACAAACTATAAATTTCAGCATTACTAGATTTTGACAAAGTCAAAGTCAACATGCTTTGAACAATTAAAATTATCCCAACATGCATCTTTTGCAGGTTTAGTAAATTTACTTCTTGATAACTTTGAATTGAGGCAGTTTAAACATGAAGGAACGCAATGGTTATCATATAAAATTCACAATGTCCATGTGCAATTTGACTTTACAAATCAATTTATATTTATATACTATCTGGACAGATATTTCATGCTACACAATTCAAACGGATTACACTATTTCAGAAATTAAAAACTGTTTTTAATTTGGAAAGATACATTTTCCCATATAGCATGCATACTATTTGTTTACAAACAGTTAACAAGATTTTACCAACCTTCCCAATCAAAATTCCTTAGGCAACTTCTGACACAAATTATCTTTTAATATAGATACACTTTGGATTAAAAGAGTGCCAACAAATAAAACTCATAGATGAGACTACCAACAAATACAATACACAAACATGTATGCACCGGTTCATGAATATCATATGTATTATGAATTTCACAACTAATTATCATATAATTTGGTGCACTAATTTGAGATTTTCCACTCTAATATCTGAATATTAGAATTTCTTCTAATGGGTCAAAACCAGAGTCTACATTATATGGTGCAGGATTGAATAATATCAGATTGTTTGTCCACAAATCAACTTGAAATATATTGTAATGAATTCAACATATAAATGAATGATTCCAAGTTATAGAATCACTATCGATTCTATTATAATATACAGATTCATTACACATGAATTTCTCTAATTAAAATGTTGT